TCAAGTTTGAAAATCAATGCGCAGTTTTATTTCCCGTTTACATTGATAGCTCATTGGTTAATTACCAATGAAATACCGTCTATTCTTTAATCTTGATTGAATTGTGATGCACAATCATTGAACCAAGCACGTCAGTATTATGGGACTCGTCAGCTAAAGATACTTGAATCTCACAGTTGATGTTCACTCTGGAACTCGAATGCATGTGGATTAAGGAAATATCGAGACAATATACACAGTATGCACATATGCCAATAACAGACTGATCAATTGCAGTTTTAGGCATCAATTGGAACATACAAGTAAACAACACCAAGTGAATTTCAACTTCACTCCATTGCACAAGTATGTGGTTATCAGGATTCAGTAGCTAAGTGGATAACGTGATGACGTTTGAAGCGAACATTACTGGGTTCGAGTCTTGGGGTGAACATTAACTGTGAAGTGTAAGTACACACATCTGACGAGTTTAAAATAGGATGAAACGCGTGTCTTGTATTTCACTGCTATCCACTATCTATCTTTGCTTATAATGCTCATGGATTAAGGTAATATAGAGGTAAAATACACACTATGCATATATACCAATAAAAGACTAATCAATTACAGTCTTAAACATCAATACGAAGATTCAATTAAAACAATACCAAGTGCATTTATCATTTGTTTCGTTCATTTTCTGTTCATAATGATCTAAATTGAATGTCATTCATTTGAATGAATGTGTAGAAAACGTATGTACACTAGTTTTAGTACCCATTAATCATTTGAGAACAAAAAAAAGTATAAAAAAAAGAACATCAAAACTACATGATGTTACATTTTTAATTGTTATAAAATAACACAATGTTTTACTGTCAGTTATGTTTAAAGTATCCTGGTCATTAAACCAATGACTGATCGATGTTTTTCCAACACATTAAGAATTTAACTTTTACTTATAACACAATAAGAAGAATTTTGGTTGGTTATACTAAATTTTCTTCAATAAAACATTGAAATCAATCTTACAGTGTTACAGTATTTGTCATTAGCGATAATCAGTGAAATTAGTGAAAAGAAATACTGTTGAATTATTCATGAGTCAGTTAGTCTGTCATCTACAACGTACGATCAGGCACATATATGCATAGGTTCAAGTTGCCATACCTCATTAACACAACAAGATGGACATTGGATTCATGGAAGTAGTTGATTCAATGATGGCAATATATAAAATAAATAGTGTGTATCAGGATATAGTACAGGAATAAAACATTAGTTGGTAGAAAGAAAGATATGAAGCGATTTTAATCTCATAGTTTAAAGGAAAACAGAGAGTGTATACACTTACTCCGTTGTGATCAATTCTGAGCCATGTTACCAAGAGTCTCCAACTATTGGTTACGATAGTCATGTGGATCCCAACCGAGTAGTCTGCAACTATCAACATAGCTAAGATCAGAATTTGGTGACTTCAAGGGCTGATGTTACGTTTTGGTTTGGCCGCTCCTAACTTTCTCCCAACCATCCTCAACACTAGTCAACATTGCGGTGTTCAGGCATACGCATCATGTGTCCCAGTCGTCTCAGTCGATGAAGATTCAAAACCTCATCAACTGATTTGCCGTCATTCCCTAACACCCTGCGTCTAACTTCACTATTACCTACTCGGTGATCCCAGCAGATGCGAGCAATATTTCTAAGATATCTGTGGTCAAATACCAGTAGCTTACTAATATCTTCTACTCTTAGTGGGCACGTTTCACAGCTGTAATTTAGAACAGAACGAACTGCCGCGTAGGGTACTCATTCCTTAATTGATAAACGGATAACTCGCCTTTGTAAGTTGACAAAAGCCAAACGAGCTTTTCGGATCCATGCTGAGATTTCATCAGACACCAGCCCATTAGGGCTCACCAGACTTCCAGGATAAGTGAAGTTGTCAACGCGTTCGACTGCTTCACTCCCTATCCTTAGTTCAGGTGTTGACGCAGGCCAGTCAATTGTTTATGATATTGTTAAGAATAGTAGAAAAGATTTGCTTCTTAATTAGGAGAATAATTTCAATGAAGTTGTATTCTGTAAATTGAATAGTTTAGGGAAATTTAGATGTTTTTAGACGAGCTATCAGTTGATTGTGAAGAAATTCTAATAGATCACTTTAGTCTATCGTTTGTGACGTTGATTTTGATCATAGAATGATCAGTGAGTGTATGATGTTTAGGTCGTCCGAATTAAATGACGCAAATTCACATCTTTGGATGCAGAGTCAGTGATCTAGAGGTTAGGCGTCCGCGCTAAAGGTTGTCGAGGAAGAACCAATACTAGGACGAAACGTCCGTCCAGTGATTCTAGGTTTTCATTAGTGGTTTAACTTAGATCGATTCATGGTTTCAATCAAATACACTAAAATGTTATTGCTTTTAAGCATCACAATCAAATATGGTTTGTATTTCATACAGGGAAAGTATCAGACAACATTCTGCCTAATGAGAATATGATAAATAATTGATTTAGCCTAAAGAAGTGTCATCAATCAAGTAGTTTAATGATAACATCTATGACCATTAGGATCTCTTATACTGGTTCAGATTCTATAGAGTATTAATTGGCTTAAGATTAATCCTTACTAATGAGACTTCAAATTTTTTCATAGATGTAATCTAGATGTCTTCATGTTTTCACACAGTGATTCAATGTAGAATCGGGTTTACTGCGCTGCATTTCGTTCTGTCCTAATTTATGGCAGTGAAACATGACCGGTAAGAGTAGAGGATATCCGTAGGTTACTAGTATTCGATCATATGTGTCTTCGAAGCATTGCTTGTATATCCTGGGACTATCGAGTAGGTAACGCAGTTGTTAGGAAATGGGTACTAGGTAAGTATGGCAAATCAATTGATGAAGTAGTGAAACTTCATCAGTTGAGATGGCTGGGACATGTGTTACGTATGCCCAACGACCGACTGCCTCGACGTGCGATGTTCAGTGGTATAGGAGTAGGTTGGAAGAAAGCTAGGGGCGGCCAGACCAAAACATGGCACAAGTCCATGAAGTCACTGACAAGTGGACTGAGTCATGTAGGTAGGTGTAGACTACCTGGTTGGGGACCGCGAGATGATAGCAACCGATGGTTAGAGACCCTCAATGACATGGCTCAAAATCGTTTGCAATGGTGGGCGCAAATGCATACACTCTTTGTGTTCTCCCAAATTCTAATCTTCTGAATTCTCCATGTCCCTTTCTTTTTTCTCTTTCCAAATTTATTTCACTGGATTATATTCCTCATATAACATCTTCAAACCCTAATTTTTCTGATTACTGCTTATACTCTTATTACCTCTATCACTATGGGATTTGATTCGAAAATTGTATCTGTGTGGTATGGCAACTCGAACTGATGTAGATACGTATGACGTTCTACGTTGTTACTGACTGACTGACTGAGAATCTGATAAGAATTGCCAATCCATTTAACTGTATTTTAAGTATGACCGAAGTTTTTAAACAATTAAAATGCTGTTAACTGATATGTTTGCTCTTTCTATCACGAAAATGTTCTTAAATTCTCATAAAAGATGATATGGCTGAAATTTCTATTTTTTTTTGAAAAATCTCCAAGGCAACAACTTACAACTTAAATTAACTCATAAAGGAAGAAATGATAGGTATACTTTTGTAAGGAAAGATCGATCAACTGTGTATTTGATGTACTTGTCTTTTGTCTTTAAAATTGAATTGACTATGATCCCTAAAGAAAAGTTACGCATTATTGTTTCAGTAAAATTATAAAATTTGCATTTGATTAGGCTACAATTTATCTAATGGATAATTAAAAACCATAAGAGAACTAAAATATCTATCGTAGATCGGTCTTGAAGTGTTGGGCGATTTCTCGGACCAAACGCTGGAATGGAAGTTTACGAACCAAAAGTTCGGTACTCTTCTGGTAATGACGGATTTCTTGGAGTGCGACAGTCCCAGGTCTGTACGTACATGGCTTCTTCACGCCTCCGGTTGCTGTGGCACTTTTGCGCGCTGCCTTGGTGGCCAGCTGCTTTCAAGGTGCCTTACATCCGGTTGATTTACCAACAGTCTGATTGGTTCGTGCCATTCTGAAACACCTTACCCGTAATTCAAATGAAAACCAGACTGGATTTTTTTTCCGTATGATTTGTTCCATGAAATTTCACCTAGAAAGCGACTCAAGTGTTCTGAAAGATAAATTAACATCTTGGGTCATGTTGCGTATTCATTCAGATATAGAATTTCAGTGGGCAGATACATAGATTTAAATGTATCAATGAACTGATGATATTGTTGTGTTCTAAATTCAAAGAGAATTGTATGCTACATACATGTAAATCTGCCCTGTTATTGCTCTGGACTCTTACATATTTATACATTACGTAATCGTTAATTTGCTTGAATTTCAATGGTGTTCACGATAAATTTAATCTTGTCTTATTGAAATCAATATTATAATCCGTACTGGCATTTGTTTTCCACTTAAATGGTTTAACTACTAACTGAAGTGAATTTAAAGTATAGTTGAAAACTACAATTTACTTGGTACCCTTTATAGACTGCTTTTCACCTCTTCAAATGTTTAAAAGTGAATAAGATATTTGAACCTAGTTCAGTCACATCTTATTGTAAGCTCATTCATTTTGATAGAAGACTTCTATCTGAAGTTTGTGTTAATAATAATATCGTTTGGAAGAACAATGAATGCTCGACGACTAAACCAACCAGCTCATAAAACAAAACTCCATCAAAATCATCCACCTGAGCTACAAATTTTCTCCACTATCTCAAGACCATTGACCCTCCATGATTTAGTACTTGAATGTTTTTTTTTGAATTCCAAATTCTATTTTTTGTTTTTGGTATTAAATTTCGTCAGTGAGTTTAATGTGATAACATTGTTGAACCATTTAAAGTTCCATTTATTATTTACGTATAAGGATCAGAAGAAGTTTCAATTGAATATTGTTTCATTTCATGTTTCATTTTAGCCTTCAGACTATAAAACCGAAACAAGTCTACCTTTAAATATTCAACCAAATAATATACCGTCTACTGTAAACTCATCTCAGTTTCCATCTTCATCATCATCATCATCATTATATGATCAACCAACTACACTTATTAAAACATATGGAGATGATTCTGGTGATAAATGGACAGTTTATTATCGTAATCCAAATATTCCTAATGTTCATATTGAATCAATAGATGATAATAATAATAATAAAACAACTCAATTACATGATCATTCTATATTAAATCAATCTAATTCATATAAAACACTTTCACAATATTCAAACGAATATTCTTCACAAATCAATAATCAATTATTAATACCCGATCAAAAAGATGGAATACCATTAAAACAAATCAATAAAATAGTAACTATGGAAAATACCACGGATATATCTAAAAAGAAACGTAAAAAATATCGATTGTATTCAATTAAACAAACTGAATATCTTATTGAAGCATTAGAATCATTAACAAATTCTATAGAAAAGAATAATATCAATCTTGAATTAGAATTAAAGGATATTGATTTAGATAATAAACAATCATTATTGATGTTACAAAATACCGATATTAATTTACATAGAAATTCATCATTAACAACTAAATTACGTCCAAAAAGTTTCAATACAAAATATGGTATTATTAATCGTCATGAATATAAACGTAAATCAGCTGGTTTAAATCATACAGATGAATTGAATCATAATCGAATTGAAAAGGTAAGCATATATATACATATACATCAGAAGGGGTTTGTAGAGATTTTAGAAATTTCACAGATGGGAATCATGAGTCAGTTGAAGCTAGATCACCATGGGAAACCTGGAAGCATTGGACGGCCGTTTCGTCATAGTATGGAACTCCTCAGCAGAGGAGTTCAACCAGGTCTGTTGTGAGATATCAGCTCACTGAAGACAATGGCATACGGTGACGCAACTTCGTGGATTGGTTGAAGTTAGACATTAACACCGTTGGATGGCGGCCGAGTGGTCTAATGGTTAAGTGCTCGCGCCCGAAACCAGTAGGCTCTGGTGTTGAGTCCCGCGTGGCGCGGGATCGTGGATGCACACTGCTGGGGAGTCCCATACTAGGGCGAAACGGCCGTCCAGTGCTTTCAGGTTTTCCATGGTGGTCTAGCTTCAACTGTCTCATGATTTCAATCTGTGATATATATATATACATTAATTAAGATTACTTATTTAAATAATAAAGTATAATGTCAGAAGAGTTTGTTTTGTGTGGATATTATAATAGATCACCACCATGGAAAATCCTGAAAGCACTGGGTTACTGTTTAGTCCTATTTTGGGACTTCTCAGTGGCAGTGCTCATCCACGATCCCGCCTCGCGACACTCAAATCAAGGACTCATCAGTTTTGCGTGCGAACGCCTAACCTTTAGAATACTGAGCCGGCTGTCATTCAACAGTGTTTATGTCTAACTTCAACTAATCTAAAAAATTGAGCGACACATTCACCATTGCCTTCAGTGAGTTACTATCTGACAACAGACTCGGTTGAACTCCATCGGTCACTACTTCTCACTAGAACTCCAGGATATACCTGTTGAAGTCAGTAACTAGTAAGCATATGTTGATTAATATCGGAAGGGGTTTTGTGGATATTATAGTAATTTTTTAATAGTTGAGTTCATGAGTCAATTGAAGCTAGATGACCATGGGAAAGTTAATGTTGAAAACGTAATATTAGAAATGATAGAAAAGATTTATAGCTGAAGTGGATGATTTTGATGAAGTTTTATTGTTTGAACTGAATGGTTTGGTTGTGGAATTTTTCTTTGTTCTTCTGAACGGTGTTACCAGCAGCATTTATTTATTATTATTTATTTATTTATTTGGACACATGAATATTGGTACAGGGGAGCGCCAATATATATGCGCCACACAAAACAATGAAAATTCGAGAGGAATACAAAGAAAAAAAAAAGCTAAGGAGCGCAACAAAAAAAAAGAGAGAACAATAACGAAGAGATTGGTGTAAGGTAATGTGCTAGTAATCAGGGAACGCAAAGGTACAGTCGGAAGAAATCTTTCAGGTAAGGGAGACACAACCACTGTTTATGAAGAAAGTAAAAGAAGGTTACAGCAGGATCGCCACTGGCTTCTATTCTGAGCCATATCTGATAACGTCTCTAGCCACTGTGTAGCACCATCTCTCAGACCCCAACCAGGGAGTCGTGAAGAACCAACACACGCCAGTCCTTTGCAGCTTTCTTTCATGCCACGACACCATGTCATGCACTGACCACCTCTCCGCTTCTTCCAACCAGCCCCACAGTCGGCAAATAATGCACGACGTGGAATTCTCTGGGACGACATTCGGAAAACATGTCCAAGCCACCGAAGTCGGTGTTTCAAGATGGTGACACCAATTGAATTATCATCTCTGTGCCCGAACACACGATGCCGAACCTCTGCATTACTGACATGGTGTTGCCACTGAATGTCAGCAATCCTTCGGAGACAGCGATGATCGAACACAGAGAGTCGTCTAACGTCCTCAACTCGGAGAGGCCAGGTTTCACAAGCATAGAGCAAAACTGCTCTCACCGACGCGTTGTAGATCCGACCTTTTACGGCCAGACTAACATCACGAAGGCGCCATAGATGGCCCAGATTGGCATAAGCCGCTCTGGCTTTCACTATTCGTGCATTGATCTCATCACTCACACCCCCACCAGCACTTATACAGCTACCCAGATACACAAACTTCTCGACTACGTCTATCTGTTCACCATCCAGGGTGAGTACAGGATTGGAATCCTGCCAGTCTTGTAGGAGTACTTTGCACTTGGAAGGTGCAAAGCACATACCATACCTACGGACACTGATTGCCAACTGATTAAGTGCGGATTGCATGCCTTGGGCATTATCGCACAGTAAGACAATATCGTCCGCATACTCAAGGTCGAGAAGTCTTTCTCCAGGCAACAGATCCACACCACCATTACTTACATTCATCAGAGCTGTTTCCAGAATGTCATCGATGACAAAGTTGAAGAGGAATGGTGAGATTGGGCAACCCTGCCTAACCCCACTACTCGAATGGAACAATGGAGAAAGGTGGTTGTATGCCCTCACTCTGCCTGAGGTGTTTTTATATAGGGCTTTTAGGATGTTAATAAACTTCTCAGGCACACCCTTCTTCAATAGACAATCCCAGAGAACAGTTCTGTCCAACGAATCGAAGGCAGCCCTGATGTCAAGAAACACTACGATTGTTGGCCTTTGATAAGTATGGCGGTGTTCTAACATTTGGCGGAGGGTGAAGATATGATCAATACATCCTCGACCAGAACGAAAACCAGCCTGCTCCTCGCGAGTCAATCTTTCTCGGGTTTTGAACAACCTACGAAGTATGACGGAAGCCAATAGCTTGGACGCAATCGGAAGTAGACTTATCCCCCGATAGTTGTTACAGGAACGACGTGAACCCTTTTTAAAGATAGGGACAACTATCGACTCATTCCATGACGTTGGCACACTCTCTAGTTCCCAAACCTTTGTGAACAACGTCGTCAATTCCTTAGTCAAAAAGTCACCACCATCTTTAAAAAGAGCCGGAGGTAAGTCATCTGGGCCAGGTGATTTGTATCGCATTAACTTTAGGTAGAACTTCTATCTGATAGAACGAAACTTCATCAAAAATGTAATATTAGATTAAGAGAAGTAAATTTTTCGTTAAAAATATACCATTTTTAAATTTATCATTTGCTAATTAATGACTAACGTTGACAAGTAATTACTGAAAATCTTTTGGAAAAACTACGATCACCGGAATTCAGTCATGTGGAGCATGAAACAATTATCTATCAACAACTTTAGAAGGAGGCTGAACAATACACTGAGTTAATTGTAGTTAGACATGTAAATTCTTGGATGGCAACTCAAAAGTCTGTAGTTTAAGCATTTGTCATGAGACCTGAGGTTCACGAGTTCAGTCTCTGACATGATCAGAGAGGTGTAATATTGAGGATTATCATATACAGAAACAACATTCCCTAATGTTTTTCAACGGTGATTTGGCTAGGAATAATCAATGATGTTAAAAACCATTACGAAAATTGTGGTGGAGTTTTGTTCTCTGAGCTGCTCAGAGAACAAAACTCCACCAAAATCATCCACCTAAGCTACAAATCTTCTCCACCATCTCACCATTACGAAAACCCCATGTAATTTAAATTTGCCGTCTTGTTTTACTTCTATATATGTCAACAACTGAATTTTAAGTGAAAAAAGTATTGTTTGGTTTAAGTACAATTTATTTTGATTTTTAACACGAAGAATAATTATTTCCAGTTTAAGTCGGTTGTTGAAAGCGATTGGCTTATTAGTTGGAAACATTCTCAAGATAAATAAGGCTCTTTATCAAGAAGCACCAATGATGTTAAAGGATCTAACATCCTCCGTGTGATTTTAACTTACATTACCCAGTATCATGATTGGAGTAATTTTCATTGAGTTACTACATCTGTCTCTAACCTTTGGCAAAACTAGAACATTTATGATGGAGTTTTGTTCTCTGAGCTGAATGGTTTGTTCGTGGAGCTTTCATTATTCTTCTGAACGATATCATCAGCGCAAACTTCAAATAAAAGTGAAGTCATGATGAAAGCTCCACAACCAAACCATCCAGCTCGAACAACAAAACTCCATTAAAATTATTCACCTGAGCTACAAATCTTCTCCACCATCTAGGACATTTATACTAAATGAAGATAAAATACCCACGGTCATACTTATGAACTCCTAAGTATTGACCGAACTTTAACGACCAAATTAAATGGAAACAATGTTTATCCATATAGGCTTAGGCCTACTATACATTAAAAACTAGACATACATGACATTTGTTGCAACTTAGTGATTGACATCAATAGCACACCAATAACATTTATATCTTCATTTTGTATTACTGAAAAACTCACTGTTTTTTTTGAACGACTATTTGTATTCATTACACAGTTCAATGAACCGTGTAATTTCTACTACCGAGAACAGACGATTTGATCAATTTTCATGATTATGCAATATAACATACAATAAGTTTCAGAGTTCATATTTATGTACTCAGAAAGATCTATACTATCGTCTGTTGAGATGTGACACGTGTTACGTATGCCCAACCACCAGACTGCAACGACGTGCGATGTTTCATGGTGTAGGAGTAGGTTGGAAGAAAACTAGGCGCTGTCAGATCAAAACATGGCACAAATCCATCAAGTCACTGACAAGTGCACAGTGTGAATCATGTTGGTAGGTGTAGACTACCTGGCTGGGATCCGTGAGATGATAGCAATCGATGGTTAGAGACCCTGAATGACATGTCTCAAAATCGTTTGCAATGGCTCAGGTGCATCCACTGTTTGTGTCCTCCCACATTCTAATCTTCTCAATTCTTCATGTCCGTTTCTTCTTTTTCCTCTTTCCAAATTTATTTCACTGTATTATACTCTTTGAATAACATCTTCAAACCGTAATGTTTCTGATTACTGCTTATACTTTCACTACTTCTATCACTATGGGATTTGAATCGAGACTTGTATCTGTGTGTTAATGTGGTATGGTAACTTGAACTGATGTATGTACGTACGAAGTTCTATGTTGTTACTGACTGACTTATTGACTGTTTGAAATACTCTGAGTTGCAAAATCATTGCGTAGCACTACACAATTCATAGATTTATACACCCTAATTTT